GATGGGGGGGCTCCCAGATCAGCCCAGCTTGCAGGACGGTCCCACCTTGGGGACTTTGGGGACTGCAAAGGTGAGCAGGAGGAGTTCCACTTGCAGCGAGACACAGTAGGCTCCTCAAAAGAATACAGGGATCTTGGAGACAGGTGCCCTGACACTGGGATGCCGTGTTAAGATTCTCAGGCAAAGAGACTGGCCAAGCGCCTCCTCCCTACCTGGCAGGCAGTAACACAGGGCAGGTGTATTATAAGGGCTCTGTTGGCTGCAAGAAACAGAAAATCCAGCTCCAACTGGCTTGAGCAAAAGAAAATGTGCTGGCTCAGACACAGAATAACTCAGGAGTCAACAGGCTTCAGGCACAGCTGGAGCCAGGAGCTCAGACAATGTCATCAGGAACTATTTCATTCCCCATCTCAGCCCAGGGCCCACCTGCACTCATGCAACCCCGAGCATGATACCTCCTTAAATTTTTCATCCCAGGCACCTCACTGGTCTCACTGCAGTCGGCCCTGGTGTTATGTCCATTCCTAGGCAGGCTTGTCTCCTCGTGGTGACAGAATGGCTGCAGTGCTCCAGCTCTCTGTACTTACAGATTGGTGTCTCCTTCCCCAGTAGCTCAAGCAGTATCAGAATTGAGTCTCCCTGGCCGACTGTCACACACCACCCTGGGTGCCTGGTGGCCCCCCAGCTACAAGGAAAGATCAGGGGCTGAGCGTTAGGAAAGAGTCATTCTCCCAAAGAGAAGTTGTGAACTGGATTCAGGGAAGCAAAACCCACAAACGTCCTCCTTGGCCAGGAACTCACCATAGGGCAAAGGTGACATTCAATTGCCCACAGAGGGGAGGTGGACCTTAGACTATGGATGCCAGCCTCTTTCTGACCCAAACTGCAAAGAGCGATTAGTTCCTGGTTCTTAAAAAGTTCATCATTCTTGAACTCCACCTCCCACGAAGCCTTGGGGCATCATCCTCACGACTCCGCCAAGCCCTATGCAAATGTTGTAGGCTGAGTGGCCTTTGCTCTAGTTCCTCATGTCTTCTTCTCATTTCCATCCGAGACCCCATCAAAATGGGCTTTACCATCCATGCGTGGTAGAATGGCCACTCACGTAACGTCTAGGCAGTCCCAGGCTCTCCTTAGTCTTCTCTCCTCCCAGTACGGCACCAGAATGGCGCGGACGCTGCGCTGACGGCAGTACCGGCTGTCTTCAGCATTCGCTTTCAGATGTTCCAGCTCCACCCATTGCCCCGTCACAGAGCTGCTTCCACGGGTTGAGGTACCTGCCATAGCAACAGCCCCACTTGCCAGCACCAGTTTCCTGTGTTGGTCTGTTTTATGTTGCAGTAGAAGAGCCCCCACTGAGTAATTTATATGGTAAGGAAATTTATTCAGCTAGTGGCTCCAGAGGCCGGGAAGTGCCAGGGCAGGTGCCAGCATGTGGTGAGGCCTCCGTGCTAGGTCGTCCCCTGGCGTAAGGCAAGGGCCGAACCGGCTTTTATAACAACCCATGCTTGGAGAACAAACTTCAGACTAGAGAGATGCCCACGCATGTGTACCGTGGTAACATCTCAGGAGGCTGTTAGGAGCAGCCACGCACGCTCTGCTGCTCCCGGATTTCTTCCGCCAGGTACCCCAGGTCGCTGCTCTCAAGTCTGGCCCCACACACAGCGCTGGCACACACACAGCGGGTTCCTCGTCTCCATCTGAGACCTCGGCGGCCTTCCCTGTCCAGATGTCCAGCAGCATTTTGTCACAACTTAGCCAGTCTCCGGGAAGCTCTGACTTTCCCTCATCTTCCTGTCTCCCTCTAAGCCTCCCAGACCCCCCAGCCGCCACCTGCTCCCTGTGTCCACGTCCTCAGGTGTCTTCACAGCAACGGCCGGTCCCATGCCAAGTATGCCCCAGGCCATTTGCGTGGCTATGGAAGAACACCTGAGGCAGCGTAATGCATAAAGAAAAGAGAAATGTGTGGCTCGTACAGTCCTGCAGGCTGTACGAGAATCACGGGGAGCCTCCGCTCGCCCAGGCAAGGGAAGGGGAGCCACGTGCATGGAGCTCACGGGAGAGGATGCAGGGGACAGTGGGGGGTGGGGGTGGGGGAGAAGCCAGGTGCTTCTTAACAGCCAGCTCTGGCTGGTGCTAACAGAGCAGAGCTCACCACAGTGGGGATGTCAGCACAGCCTCCCCTCTCCTGCTCCTCCACCTGGGCATCTTATCCCCAGCGCTTCCTCCTGGCTGCAGAGGAAGACCCTCGGTGACAGTGGAGGGCCCTCGGGCCACACGGGGAGCACTGCCGAGGCTTCACGTCCCACCAGCTCCTCTACAGCAGGAAGGGACAGACAAGGGCCACCTGCTGCCCCAGCCTCACCTTCCTTAGGCAGCTGCTGCCTGCTGCTGTCCAGAGCACAAGTTCCCTGGCCAGCCCCTCTGGCCACAGGGGGCAGAAAGGAGCCTGGTCCACACCTCCTGGCTTCCCCCAGGCCTGAGAAGCCGACCTGGATCCAGTGATTTGCTGCCTCACCATGTCTCACTGCTCTGCCCCTCCATGCACACCAGCAACCATCACGCCCCAGACCTCTGCACTGGCCATTCCCTCCCCTCGGACGTCTGTCACCCCACACCCTCAGTGCGCTGTGGTGCAGAGGGTTATGGATTGTTGGTGCTCAGGAATTTTAGCTGGGCATGGTGGTGCACACCTGTAGTTCCAGCTACTGGGTAGTCTGAGACATGAGCATCCCTTGAGCCCAAGAGTTCAAGGCTGCAGTGAGCTAGATAGCGCCATTGCACTCCAGGCTGGGTGACAGAGTAGACACCATCTTTTAAAAAAAGACTAATATTCAGAAATTTAGCTTCCTTGAAGTCAGCCCTGAGGCAAATATTTACACTAGAGAAACCTGCGAATACTACAGTCTGGCCTGTATCTGGAGGACCAGGCACCAGGGGCAGCTCTGCAGGTCCGCCCCTCCGTGCCCGGCAATGGTCACCTTCTGTCCATTCTCTTGCTTGGTGCCTGGGACCCCCCAGGGACAAACACTGGCTGCTCTGGTCCCCACTGTGGTGGTCCCAGACACACCCATAGACATTGATGGAAGACTCGACCTTGGTCTCACCTGGGGTCCTCCTGACCACAGAGCAGACACAGGAGAGCAGCAGGACCACGATGCTGACCTTAGCACCACCAGGGCTGGAACTGCTTGTGGCAGGTCAGAGGAAGGAGGCCTGGGGATGGCCCTGCAGTTTGGGCCTGGTGCTGCCAGGGAGGACATAGAGGTGGGAGAAGTGGCTTTGAGGGACTCACATGGGGTTCCTAGAGGGTCTTGTGCTGGCCCATCTGGAAACACACAGGCATGAGGGGCTGTGGGCTAAGACCCCACCCCTGCGGCCTGGCCCAGGCAGGGGATCTCAGGCAGGCCTCATTTGTACTTCTGTACACAAGAAATGAACCATGAAAAACAGAATTAAAGAAATAATTCTAGTTACAATAGAACCAGAAGCAAAATACTCAGGAATGACTTTAACAACAGAAGTATAACCTTGGAACAGTGGAAACTGCAATGCATGGCCAGTGCTGGAAACACCCCGGTACCATCCCGGAGCCTCCTCCCCTCGGCTCTGGGGGAGGGTGGGGGACGAATTGCATTATTGGCCTTTATGTTATTAGAGGTGGGCTCAGGGTGAGGTCTACACAACCAAATGCGTATTACTGTCTCCATTTTTATGGACAGAAGATTGAAGCCCACAAAGAGAGGCAGTGGCCACCCATGTCCTACAAGGTCCAATGTCTGGCACTGATTCCCCTGACTCAGCCCCGACCAATCATTCTGTATCTAAAGGATCCCCATATATCATACCAGTAAGTGTCTAAGAGAGAGGACTGGGCTCCAGGGGTCTAAGAAAGGAAAGATAGAGATTCCACACTCTGAGGCAACGGGATTCTGGGAAAGTCAAGACTGAATTCCCGAGATCTGCAGAGTAGTCACTGAGGGGCAACTGCAGGATCAGAGAGAAAGATACAGGATTTGAACAAGGCAGGGAAAACGTTAGGAAAAGACAAAACCGGGGACAGGTTTGGGTGAGGGTCAAACCTCTCACACACCCGCCCACCCCAAAACCTTATCCGCCTTTCACCCCACCGCCTTTCCACCACTCAAGCCATCACCCTGATCAATCCAGGGACATGTCTCCGTTTGAAGAGGAGTCTCGGCGGTAGCCAGAGCTCTGAGAAAGCGCTGTGCAGAACTCCCTGCTGGTATGCGGCACAAACCAGGGCGGAAGGGCAACGTTCAGGTCCATGTCACAAAAACCAATGTATAACACAGAGATGTCATTGGTAGAAGGGTGGATGGGTGGAACTTGGGAGTTTCTGGGCAAATAACTGTCAGATGCGGGAAGTGGGAGCTGGCACGAGGACCACAGGTGTACCTGCCCGGGACGCCGGTGCTTTAGCCAGGCAGGTACCCGAGAGCTTCCCCTGCCCCAGCTGTGCACTAGAACCCGCTGGAGACTCACGAGTCAGTCTGTGAGAACAAACATCCTTCAGTGGAAGGGACTTCCCATTTTGGTTTCTTATTAATTTGTCAACAGACTTGAGATAAACATATCTTACATGCTTTTAGAACGTCTCCATTAAAAAGTACCTGTTCCAGAACACCAGTACCCGTACCAGATGGTTTAAAACCAGGTGACTTATCACCGACCAATTGGCCCACGTTCGCGTTCCCCGCGGCTCCCACAACGTTCCCGGCGGTCAGACCCCGCGTTAATGGGGAACCGGGTTCCCCGCCGCCCTCACGCGGATGGAGAGCGGTCCAGAGCTGGCGGGTGCCGGTCTCCTTGGTAACGCGATGGCCGCCGGATCCGGCGGGGGCCCGCACAGCCCTCTGGGAAGTGTGGTCTTCCCCTCGCAGGCCCGCGCAGACCAGGGCCAGGGGCGGGGCTTCTGGGTTCCCTCTGCGCACGCGCAGCCCCGCCCCCGCCTGCCGTCTTCCGCCCTGGCTTCCGGTTCTGCGGTGCCGGCGCCGCTGTCCCCGGGTGTGCGGCTGGGTCTGAGTCCCTGAAGGTCGGTGCCGGGTGCACGAGGGGCCCGGGGGTCGGCCCGGCTGTCCCCCGACTCGGTGAGAGCAGAGACGAGACGACTCGCAGGCGGGCCGCGACCTGGGCCGGGCCGGGAGGGCGGCTCGGGGCGTGCCGGCCGCAGGCGGAAGACGCTGGCTGCCCGGAGGCCGGAGTGGGCTTCAGGAGAGGCTGGTTCCAGAAGCTCCGCCGGCCGGTGGCGGATTCCTAGGTGACGCGGGCGGAGCGGCGTCCCGGCAGCGTGAGTGAGGAACCTGCGGCCTTCCGATTTCCAGATTGTTCTTTTTTAAGCACCAAAGGAGGCAAGAAAGCTTCATCTTTCTCTGCTGCACCCATTCGGCCAAAAGGCTACACTTCATGTTTCCAACCAAGGTACTACCTATGGTCTCTAGTAACTTCTCACTTTCCGGTTCTCGGCTGTGTAACCAACCACCACAGAACTTACCGGCTCAACCCAAGAATGTGTTCTGTTCTTATGTCAGAGTGTTGTGGGTCGGGACACTGAACAAGGCAGTGTGGGCTGGCTGCTGCTTGATGTCTCTGATCTGCGTCGTGATGTCTGAGGTCAGCTAGAAGGACACTGTCTGGGGACATGGAACAGGCACCCCGCCCTCTCCCCGTGGCCAGCATGGACATCCTCCCCGTCTGGTTGTCTCATGGTGGTCAGGTCTGTCTGACTTCTCCCAGAGCAGGTGTCCAGGGAGCCCAGGAGGAAGCTGTGAGGGCTCAAGATCTCCCCTCCGAGTTCCCAAAGCGCCTCTTCTGCCACATTCTCTTAGTCAAGCTCATCACTAAGAGCAGCCCCAACTCAGCTGTAGGGCGATTAGATTCTGCCTCTTGAGAAGAGAGATGGTAGGAATTTGCAGCAATCTTTAACAAACCGGTTTGCCCTTTTGCCGCAAATTATTTACATTTCTCCGATGTGCAGAACATACCATGCCCCTCTCAAGAACTCCAGAAATCTTTTCCTGTTATGGCCGTGGCTGACAGCCCAGCCAGACCAGGTCCTGGTGGCCCATCATCTGCCCCTCCCACTCACAGCACACAGCGAGGAGACCAGGGTGAATATGGTGGGGGGCCCCCTTCAGATGGGTGGTGGGTTGGGGGAGGCACCCTGCAGGCACCGGTGGGAGCAGTAACTTCGTCCCAGCGGGCACCTGCTCCAGTTTTTTGACGGGTTGCTTCCATCTCTTGGCTGTAAGCCTGGGTGTGCAGATACCTCCTGGAGACCCTGCTGTGGTTATTCTGGATGTACTTCAGTCCGTCAGTGTGCTCAAGTCCTGAAGGCAGCCTCGTGGAACCCACATGCACAGTCAGCCTTTGGCTTACACGGGTTTCACTTCCCACAATACTTTATTCTCAACCCACACTTGGTTGGAAAAAAATCAACATATAAATGGACCCTCAGTTCAAGCCTGTGTCATTCAAGGATGAACTGTATGTATAGAAGTCAGATTGCTGGATCAAATGGTAATTCTGTTTTCAATATTTTGGGGAACCCCCTCTACTATTTTCCATAGCTGTATTACATTTTACAAAAATACACACAGTTCCTTTGCACCAACAGCGTAGAGGGTTCCAATGGTGAAAGACTGAACAACTTATTGTTGGGTTTATTCATTTTTTTCTGTTTTCTATATTTTGTCTCTAATCTCTTATTTTCTTCCCTTGTTTTTGGTGTCTCATTAGTTTGTTCTATTTTTTGTTTAGTTCCCTAAGGTGTAAAGTTAGGTTATTGATTTGAGATCTTTCCTTTTTAGTGTAAGCATCTAAATCTGTCAGTTTTCCCCTTGGAACCACTTTTGTTGCAATCCATGAGTTTTGGAATGTTGTATTTTCATTTTCATTTGTGTCCAGATATTTTTTGTCCCAGTGGACTATAATTTTATTGTTTCCAATAAAGGTGATTAATTAAACACATAATGAATTCTGGTTCAATTGTTATACTATTATAAACATCTTTACACTCCCAAGTTTAAACTCTAGAAAAAATTTCCAAAGATACTCACATGTATTTTGGTTTAGGAAATACGGCCATCTCAGTGTATTCACACAGCAACCTAGACTTGAAGATAAAGGCTAATGATAAAATTAACATATACTGAGAAATTTGAAAATATGTATTCATTGTTAATTCTTAATTATATAATTTGTTTAAAAATTGAGGTACTGGCATACAAAATTGCATATTTAATGTATACATCTTGATGAACATGAAGATAAGTGTTCACCCATGGAACCGTCCCCACAAACAATGCCATAAATATAACCATCACCATGAACAGTTTCCTCCCTTCCCCCTTTTCATAAGGATAAGACCATTTATCACCCTTTTACAAATTTTTAAATATATAGCACAGGACAGTCGTACTTGAGAGATATTGTAGGCTTCAGTTCCAGGAAAAAGCAGTAAAGCGAGTCACATGAATTTTTTATTTCCCAGTGAACGCAAAAGTGTGTTTACACTATACTGCAGTCTACTAAGTGTGCACTAGCAGTATGCCTATAATAACAATGTGCCATACATTAGTTAAAAAGTAATGCTAAAAATCGGTAGCAGTCGCCTGAGCCTTCAGGGAGCGGAAATCTTGCCTGGTGGAGGGACTGCCCTCCACACTGGTGGCTGCCGACTGATCAGGGTGGTGTTTGCTGAGGGTTGGGGTAGCTGTGGGGATGTCTTAGAAAAAGACAGCAGTGAAATTTACTGTATCGACTGGCTCTTCCACAAAAGATTTCTGTGTACGAGATGCTGTTTGATAGCGTTTCACCCACAGTAGAACTTCTTTCAAAATTGAGTCCCTCTCAAGCCCTGCTGCTGCTTCCTCAGCTAAGTTTATGTAATATTCTACATCCTTTGTTGTCGTTTCGACAGTGTTTGCAGTGCCTTTACCAGGAGTAGCTTCCTTCTCAAGAAACCAGTTTCCTTGCTCATCAGTAGCAAGCAACTCCTCACCTGTTCAAGTTTGATCATGAGATTTCAGCAATTCGGTCACATCTTCAGGCCCCACTTCTAACTCTAGATCTCTTGCTGTTTCCCCGAAAATAAGACAGGGTCTTATATTTATTTTTCCTCAAGAAGACACCCTAGGGCTTATTTTCAGGGGATGTGTTATTTTTTTTAAGTATGGCACAACAATCTACATTTATTCAAAAATAGTTAAGTCGTCTTCTTCTGGAACATCGTCATCACTCTCCAAACCCCGAATTCCATCCTGAATTTCTTGTGACTCCATTTGCTTTAGAACCATTGGCCCCAGTCTCTCATGTAGAGCCATAGAGCTCTCATGGGGAGGGTGAGAAGGGCTGCTCATCTTCTTTACTGCTCTGCAACGAAAGCATGGGTTGTGCAGATATGCTAAGTCTTATTTTCGGGGTAGGGCTTCTATTGGGCAAATGCTTAGAAATCCTGCTAGGGCTTATTTTATATGTAGGTCTTATTTTCGGGGAAACACAGTACTTCCTCCACTGAAGTCTTGAACCCCTCAAAGTCCTTCATGACGATTGGAATCAACTTATAAAATCCTGTTTCATGTTGGTATTTCAGTCTCTTTCTATGAATCTCAAATTCCTTTAATGGTATCTATTATAAAAGGGTGAATCCTATCCAGAGGGTTTTCAATTTACTTTGCCCAGATCCATCAGAGGAATCACTCACTTTAGCTATAACTTTAGGAAAGTATTTCTTCAGTAATAAGGACTTGAAAGTCAAAATAACTCCTTGATCCACAGGCTGCAGAGTGCGTGTTGTGTTAGCAGACATGAAAACAGCATTCATCTCCTTGTACTTCTCCACCACAGCTCTGGGCTGACCAGGTGCATTGTCAGTGAACAGTATTATTTTGAAAGGAATCTTTTGTTCTGAGCAGTAGGTCTCAACAATGGGCTTAAAATATTCGGGAAGCCATGCTGTAAACAGAAGAGCTGTCAGCTAGGCTTTTTTGTTCCATTTATAGCACACAGGCAAAGTAGAGTTAGCATAATTCTTAAGGGTTCTAGAATTTTCGTAGAGGTCAATGACAAAGTCACCAGCTGCATAAGCCCCTAACTCTTAAGAGGATCAGCCTGTCCTTTGAAGCTTTAAAGCCAGGCATTAACTACATGGAATCTTCTAGAATAAGACTGTTTTGTTCCATTGAAAAATCTGTTGTTTAGTGTAGCCACTTCCATCAGTTATTTTCTGGACGATTTGCTACAGCTTCTAGATTATGACTTGCTGCTTCATCTGGCAGTTTTATGTTATAGAAATGGCTTTTTTCCCTTAAACCTCATGAACCAAACTCTGCTGGCTTCAGACTTCTCTTGTGCAGTGTCCTCACCTCTCTCAGCCTTCATAAAATTAAGGAGAGTTAGAGCCTTACTCTGGATTTGGCTTTGGCTTAAGGTAATGTGGCTGGCCTAATGTTCTATCCAGGCGACTACAACTTTCTCCATATAAGCAAGAAGCCTGTCTTTGCTCTTTAAAAAATTCATGTGTTCACTGAAGTAACAATATTAATTTTATTGAAGAACTTTTCCTTTGCATTCACAACTTGTCAGTTCAGCATAAGAAGCCTAGCTTCTGGCCTGTCTCAGCTTTCGACATGCCTTCCTCACTAAGCTTAACCATTTCTGCCTTTTGATTGAAAGTGAGAGATATGTACCTTTCGCTTGACCACTTAGAGGCCATTGCAGGGTTGTTAACTTGCCTAGTTTCAATATTGTTGTGTCACAGGACAGGGAATAGGGAGGCCCAAGGAGAGGAAGAGAGGCAGAAAAATGGCCAGTCGGTGGATAAGTTAGAATACACATATTTATCAATTAAGTTTGCCATCTTATATGGTCAAGGCCCGTGGTGCCCAAGAACTATTAAAATAATAACAGTAAAGATGACTGATCATACATCACCATAACAAATACAATAATAGTGAAAAAAGTTTGAAAACGAGGGCATAAGAGAACACAAAGTGAGCACAGAGTGTTGGGAAAATGGCGACAATGATACTTGCTAACCGCAAGGTTGCCACAAACCTTCGGTTTGTAAGAAAACATAGTGTCTAGCAGCACGGCAAGACAAAGCACAGTAAAGAGAGGTACGCTTATATTTCAATACGCTCTGACAAGCTCTATTGCGCATTTAGACTTTGACATTCAAAGTGACTATCGATATGGTTGGATTGATACCTGTTGTCTGTTCATTACCCTTACTCTTTGCTCTTTTGTCTCCCACGCTTTCTACATTTTGTGTTGCTAATCTTCCTTATTTTTGTTTCTTAAGATCACTTCTCTAATCTCTATTCCTACTGCTGTGTTTCCTGATGTAGGCGGTCATCCGTCACCGTGTTTTCTCCCCCTCTGACTTTCCCTAAGACCATCCCCATCGTCCTTAGGGATGACCGTTAAAATGAAAATCTAGCCATTTAACCTACTTATTCTTACTGAACCTTATTATTTACCCTGTGGTCTGGGGTAGGATGTTCACCCTAGAGTGGACAGAGCAATCCTTTTGCATGTAGGAAGGAAATTTTGGGATGCCCACATACATTTTTTTTTAATTTATAAATTATGCTCAGTCTTCTGTACATAAGAATTCCACATCCAAGGATTCAACCGACCTCAGATTGAAAATCTCAATAGAAAAAGATGGTTGCCTTTGACCGATCATATGCAGAATTTTTTCTTGATGTATTTTCTAAAGAACACACCATAAACATCTATTTACATAGCATAGGATATATGTAATATTTTACCATTTTATGTAAGAGACTTGAGCATGTGTGGATTTGGTATACGTAGGGATCCTGGAACCAACCCCCCGTGGGCACTGAGGTACATCTGTAACTTACACACGATATGTGCATAAAGTGGTTCTAGAATTACGTCAGTTGAGTAACTACAGGTTTGCTCCATAATCAGTTCCTTCAGCATTGCATCTGCCTCTCAGCACGGACCAGGATCCTTCATCTAAACATGGGCTGTGTGTCGTTTCACCACGTGGAGTGTGTTTCTTGTGCCCTTGCAACTGGACTGCTCTTGTTGCCTCACAGTCATGAGTACGCAAGGTTCACAAGGAAGAGCTAAACGTCTTCCTTTTTCAGGAAGTGCAACCTCTAATAGAAATAAGAACTACAAACTACACTTTCTCCTGCTTTCTTACCCCAGTCTACACTGAACTTGTGTCTAAATTAGTTCATCTAACTCATTATTCCAAGTATGTATTTATACTTACATCTTCATACCAGATCATGAGCTCCTTGGAGGAGGAGAATTTTATTCATAATTTTATCACTAGCAACAAGGATGGTTCTAGGTCTAAAGATACACTTTGTAATAGTATTTTCAGTAATTAAGTTATTACAGCAGATGGATATTTCTACTGGATTTTTCTTTCTCCTACCTTGTAGAGTACAAAGCAGCAGCATCTCATGTGCGGTTGTCTCATATGTGTCTTACATACAACACCACATACACAGAGAAGAGTGAATTCCCAGATCCTATGGTGGTGTTCCAGGGCTGATAAGTTGAGGAGAAATGTGCCATTACAGGGCTTGGTGTCCTTTGAGGATGTGGCAGTGGACCTCACCTGGGAGGAGTGGCAGGACCTGGACGATGCTCAGAGGACCTTGCGCAGGGACGTGACGCTGGAGACCTGCAGCGACCTGCTGTCGCTGGGTGAGCAAAACTTCTTTCTTCTTGATGCATATGGTAACCCTTTACAGGTTTTGTGCTGTTTAGGTGCGAATTGCCAGTCCATCAAAAATGTGCCACCGCTCTCCATAGAAAGGTTCAAATTGGCTCCTTCGTTGCACAGACCCTGAACCCGATCTGTTGTCATTGTTCAAAGGACCTGACTTAGCAGTTTGACAAAGTCCTGTGTTGTTTCGCACTAACAGGGCATCGCATTGCCAAACCTGAGGTGATCTTCAAGTTGGAGCAAGGAGCAGAGCCATGGATGCTAGAACACCCAGGCCGGAGCCTCTCGGGTCAGTTAGCAAGAACCGGGCAGGGCTGCCAGGAGGGGTGAAGCCCAGCAGGTGCTGGCAGCGTTGACCTGTTTTCACCAATTGTTTCGACCAGTCCTAGACCTCAGGACAAGTGGTCTGCATGCACCAAACACATGCATAGACTCCAAGGATAGCTCTCACTCACACATCCTGGCCTTTTATTTTGCTGAATATTTTCTTATGTTAGTATTTATCCAAAATATAATGCCTGCCTTCCTCTTTTTAGACATTTTTCTTTGCTTTTATTTTATCAATATTCTCCGTTGCTCTCTTTTCCTCTGTTGTCATGGACTTGTCTTTTTCCCTCAGACATTTATTCTTACATCAATTTATTCTTTTAACACATCTTAATTGAGCAGATTTTAAGCCCTGGTAATCAAAATGATGTTTCTTTTTCATGGAGCTTCCATTCTGATGAAAAAGTAATAAGAAAATAATGTATGTTAAGCAGTTCTTTAAGAAGCAGGAGAAATACTTAACCAAAGTCAGAGAGAGTGAGTGTAACGGAATGTGATAATTTAGGAAGGATGGTCACAGAAGGCATTTTTATCGTGATTATTAAGTGTTTACTCTGGCATAGATTCAGTTCCAGTTAACTTTCCAATTTTAACTGGAACTTTCTAGTTAACATATAATAGGTGAATATAAAATATAATAGGTGAATATAAAATATAGCTGACATATATTTGACATATAATAGGTGAATATAAAATATAGGTTCAAGAATGGACATCACTATTAGAGACACAAATTTGGGAATCAGTAGCTAAAGCTGGTATTCAATGTCATACTTATAAAGAAGTTCGCCCAGGGAGTTGATAAGAAAATGAGGAGTGTACGAATGAGCCTTGTGTATCTTGAAGTCAGAAATCATGACACTGAGGAGGAACCAGCAAAGGGGTGTGGAAAGCAGTGGTGCCTTGACTTGGGGTGAGAACCAGGAGATTCTGGGTCCCAGGTCCAAGAAAACCAAGGCTTTTACATTGAAGAGCTCAGATTTCTGTTTGGGAGTGGAGTTTGAAGTTAGTATTTTCCCCTTGTCTTTGTAGAAATCATTCTAAAACAACAAAAAGAATGGCAAATATACAGGAGACTTCATTTTCCATGAAACTCAGAGAAAGCTTAAACTCCAACAAAACATATAAAAGCCATCTGAAGCAGTCAATTATCAAGCAGTGGTGCCTCTGTCAGGAATTGGAAGGAGAATGTCAGGGCATTCGATCTCAAAAGGAGCCAGAAATACTGCTTTTAAGATGATAAGCACAGCCTGGATTGCAGAACCAAATCCTATAGAGCAGCAGAAGTGGGGTGGCCACCGTGGTAGACAGGAGGTTCCTGTGCTTGTTAGGGTTCTGAGAGGCAGAGGAAGTTGGGTTACATTGGGAAGTTGCAAGAAACTGTCTAGCATGGGAAATAAGAGATTTATATTAGAAAAACTCCAAAATGCCTATAGCCATTCCCAGGGAAGAATGAAAACTAAAACACAGATGCGAAACCCTGTCCCTAAGCCATATTCCTGCTTACAAGACCAGGAAATGGCCTCCCTCTGCACCTGCAAGTAGTTGATCCAAGAAAATCTTGCCATCTGCAAAGTGGAAGACTGAGAGAAATGCCAACACAAGACACCCACCACTGTTACAAGTATAAGTAAAATAGAGAAAAAGGAGAGTGAAAACAGATGGCAAGTGATGAGCACTTAAATGAAAACTACAACTGGGCAGTAAGTGACTGTTATTAGCAAATAATTCCTTATGAATTAAAAAGGGAAAACATTAGAATGGAAAGAAAAACAATTTAATATTGGAAGATATATTAATGTAATTCATTACATTGTCAGTAGTAATATACACACACATTTATAAAACCAGTACCCAGTATTGATTTTTATAAAATGCCACTGGAATACGCAGTAATTTCTTTACCTTTACATGAGCATTCCTTAAGAAATGCTTCTCTGTGGTTCATGGATATGGTGTCTTTTTTTTTTCCACTTCAGATGTCCAGATAGTTGATGACCTAATTAAGAGAAGCCGAGAAACTTATGGTAGATGTTTGTGGCAAACTGTCATCAGCAGCAACATAACATCAACTGAAGACAGAGCTGAACTAGGAAAAACAAACCTGACAATGCATGAGAGAACTCACACAGGTGAAAAATCGTATGAATGTAATAACTGTAGGAAAATCTTCTCCCAGAAGTCAGCCCTCACTGTACATCAGAAAATTCACACAGGCAAGAAATCACATGAATGTGAAGAATGTAGGAAAACCTTCTCCCAGAAGTCAGCCCTCACTGTGCATCAGAAAATTCACACAGGGGAAAAGCCTTATGAATGTAATGAATGTAGGAAATCATTCTACAAGAGATCAGATCTCATTACACATCAGAGAACTCACACAGGGGGAAAACCCTACGAATGTAATGAATGTGGAAAGGTATTTCGCCTGAAGCCGTTTCTCACTGTACATGAGAGAACTCACACAGGAGAGAAACCCTATGAATGTAATGAATGTGGAAAAACCTTTTGTCAAAAGTCAAATCTCAGGATGCATCAGGGTACTCACACTGGGGAAAGGCCCTATGGATGTAATGAATGTGGAAAGACTTTTCGTAAAAAGTCAGTTCTCACTGTGCATCAGAGAACTCACACAAGGGAAAAACCCTATGAATGTAGGGAATGTGGGGAAACCTTCAACCAGAAGTCAGCCCTCACTGTACATCAGAGAACCCACACAGGCGAGAAACCATACGAATGTGAAGAATGTAGGAAAACTTTCTCCCAGAAGTCATCCCTCACTGTGCATCAGAAAATTCACACAGGGGAAAAGCCCCATGAATGTAATGAATGTAGGAAAACATTCTGCAAGAAGTCAGAACTCACTACACATCAGAGAACCCACACAGGAGAAAAACCTTATGAATGTAAAGAATGTGGGAAAGCATTTCGCCAGAATTCAAACCTCAGGACACATCAGAGAACTCACACAGGGGAAAAACCCTATGAATGTAATGAATGTGGGAAAACCTTTTGCAAGAAGTCAAACCTCAGGATACATCAGGGTACTCACACAGAGGGAAAACCCTATGGCTGTCATGAATAGAGAAACATTTCACCTGAAGTCAGTCCTCACTGTACATCAGAGAACATACCCAGGGTAAAAAACTCTGTGCATGTAGTGAATGTGGGAAACCCTTCTACTAGAAGTCAGCCCTCACTGTACATCAGAGAACCCACACAGGACAAACACCCTGTGGATGTAATGAATGTGGGAAACCCCTCTACCAGAAGTCAGTCCTCACTGCACATCAGAGACCCCACACAACACAAAAACCCTGTGGATGTAATGAATGTGGGAAACCCCTCTACCAGAAGTCAGTCCTCACTGTATATCAGAGACCCCACACAGCACAAAAACCCTGTGGATGTAATGAATGTGGGAAACCCCTCTACCAGAAGTCAGTCCTCACTGTATATCAGAGAACTCACAGAGGTGAGAAACATTATGAATGTGAAAGATGTAGGAAAACCTTCTACCAGAAGTCAGCCCTCACTGTACATCAAAAAATTCAACACTGGAAAAAGGCCCTATCAAGGTAACGAACGTGGAAAAACCTTTGCCACAAATCACACCTCAGGAAGCATCAGATAATCCACACAAAGGAGAAATCCTGTCTGGCAGTGACTGGCTCTGTGTTTCTGAAAAAAAAAGAGAATCTTTTCTCTTAGACACACAATTGGCCCGCATCTCTCAGCATCCCACTATTACAGATGGCTTCCTATAACAGATCTGCCCAGGGGAATGTGGGCACAGGGAAAATTGTTACTTCCAGGGTTGGCAGCAAGGTCCACATGATCATATCTGATATCTCAAGGCCCTGAGGCTGAAGCGCAGATGACCCCCAGGTTGGCCTTGGGAACCACAGGGGGGAGAAGGCCACCATGACTGAGACAGAAGGAATTGGTTAGAGAGCAGAAATCTTCCCACTTCTGTTATAATACCTTCCGTTTGTACTTCCTGTGAGTGAGAAATAAATACCTTCATTGTTGAGCCATTGTTTGAGTGATCTGTTTGCATTACAACACAAATAGCCCACTGTAGCTAATTTACTTTGTGAACTTCCTGAGAGAAGGTACCCGATTTCGAACATTAGAAAATTCACAGTGGGAGAGAAGCGTGTGTTTTCCCCTTTGGTCCCCAAGTCAGTTTATAGAACCATCAGTGGAATATAGGCAGATGCATTGCAGCATATTTGAGACACCTTATCAGACAGGGTATCTCACTGAATGCTAAGAGCAAAGTAAATCTTTACAAATATCTTTAATGTGTCCAAGCTTTCAACAAACCTTCCAACTTTATATATCAGGGAATTTGAAATGAAGGAAAACCATCAATTGATGTAATAATATGGACGTACATTTTTGAATAGAAATGTCAAACCATCAAAATTTTAAAATATATTTGACTCTATACCAGTACTCAAATTCGAGAGGTAGTATTCCCTGCCAGGAGGCATTTGGCTGTATGTGGACATATGCTTGATTGGCGTAACTGGACGTTGGGAGGCGCCAGTGCCATCCAGTGGGTAGAGGCCAGCGTTGCTGCTGAACAGCCTACAGTGCACGGAACAGAACCCTCTAGCATGTGGAGCTTATGATTATCTGTGTGATTCTCCATGATGGGACCCAGCATAATTGTGGGTAGGGAATATATACATGTAACATAATAGATTTTGTGGCTTACGTTAGGACTTTCCACATTAAATACCAGTCTGGCCCCTTTATGTCTTGTTATACATTAACTCTAGCATGTCGTGCTCATACTTTTTCCCTCCTCTCCTAGTAAATGTAAACTTGCGTGACCATTATCACCAAATTATCTCTTAAGTAAAGAAGATAATTTTTTTTCCCAAAGTTTGAAGCTAAAACAGTACCAACCATGGGTCTAATAGAAACAGTGTTTACATAGGAATGTACACAAGGTGCATAACTGTTAACAGTTTAAACCTGAATTTATTTAAACAGCTGTGTTCATTCTACTCAGTGAAAAGCAGTCTCTGGTAGGAAAGTTTCCCCTTTGTTTCTAGTCCTCACATCTTAGGGAGCAGCGGCGCAGGTACGAGCGTGTACCCCGTGCTGTGTACTAAGTGGTATGGGCACGTCCAGGGACGGGCTGCCACAGTGTGTCTCACCCCTGTGGGGCAGCACCCAAATCCCGGCTCCACTGGGCGTACGTGCACTGTTGACCTCAACCTCCCGGGCCTCCTGTGTCTTCATGCTCACAAAAGTCAGTAATAATAAAACCTGCCTCCGAGGGTCATTGTGAAGAGTAAATTAGATGGCCTGACACCTGGTAAACAGTATATAATCTGTAGCTGTGATGATGATGGTTATTATTGTAATTTACAACATTAGTCCATCATAAATTAGTAGGAGACAGACATAAGCTGTTGTTTGCCTACACAAAGGCCAACGTTTAATGTTTTGGCAGTCTGGGTTTGATGATGTTACCCGCTTCTACACGGTTACTCAGGGATTCATCTTGGTTGAGTTTTTATGGTTAGCTGAGATTGATCTTACCGTTTGGGCTGAGCATATGACCAGAGGTTAATTTTGTAGTGGTGACTGTCTTCAGAAATACACTGCAATTATAGTATAATTACTACTCATCAGAAATGGCTTCATGGGCAGCCATTGTTGCATCCTGGATAACTGCACACACTGGAAATAAAATTTTTTTATTCCATTGTTTGAAGGAAATATGTTTGTATATTGATAAGCCACATATCAATAGAACATTCTTCTTGCAGCATAGCATGAGGTCAGTTAGTCCTATCCTTTAAACCTTCAGTCCCCAACCCTCAGGCCGTGGCCTGGTACCAGTCTGTGGGCTGGTAGGAAGTGGGCCTCGCATCACCTCCTGAGCCCCACCCCACCGCCACCTCCCCCGCCCCAGTCCATGGAAAATTGCCTTCCATGAAATTTAGGAACCGGGCCACGGAGCAGGAGGTGAGCGGCAGGTTGGTGAGGGGGCTTCACGTGCATTTACAGCTGCTCCCCATCACTCAAGTCACCACATCAGCTCCGCCAGGCCCTCCACTCCCCGTCCGTGGAAAAATTGTCTTCCATGAAATAGGTCCCCGGTGTCAAAAAGGCTGGGGATTGCTGCTTCAAACTGAAGAAAGTGAGTATTGTTGGAACTGAATTGTTTGTTGATAACTCTCCCTGGTGTTGATTGACTAGATTTGATGTGAGTCGAGTGTCTCCTCTCTTCTAATGTCACTTCCCACTGCGATGGCTTATGACGATTTTACTCCTGACCCACCCTGGCGCTTTGCTCAGGCTGCCATAACAAAGCACTGCTGTCTGGATGTTGAAGGTGCAAGGCCGAAGTGCCAACGGGTCTGTTTCGGGGAAGGCCTTTCTTCCCGGGTTGCAGACGGCCGCCGTCTCCCCAAGTCCTCGTGTGTCCTGCCCGCTGTGCTCCTGGGAGTGAGGAGGCCCTGGTGTCCCGTCCTCTCGTGTGGACAGCAGTCCTGTGGGGTTAGGGCCCTGCCCCATGCCCCCATTTGACTTGAAGTTCCCCCGTGAAGTCCGTCTACAGAGACAATCTCATGGGGGTTAGGGTTTCCACGTGCCAGTTTTGGGGGGACAGAAACCTTTAGTCCACAGCACCCACTGATTTGAAATACCGTCTTTCTCATTGAAGATGCAGCACTAAATGAGCATTTGGCATGGCCAAGATGTGTCAGCCACAACACCAAGTGTCCCACCTGTGTGGTGAGCATTTCCCCTGAGTGCAGAGTGTGTCCCCAGTGACCTCTGTAATTGGAAACAATCACAGACCGGTTAGCGTGCGGGCCTGGAGCTACGCACACCATCAGAAGTCTGTGTTTACACGGTGGAGAGGCAGTGGGCAGAGCTCGTTGGTGGCTGAAAGGCAGTCTGGACACCCCTGAGACCCACACCAGGTGCCTCTCCCAGTGATGGACACTGGGCCGGTGTTTTTCTTTTCTTTGTTTTACTTGCACCTGGCGAGGTGGGTTACTCCTGTTGGAATTGAGTCCTGACGTGACTGAATTCATCTGGCATGTGTCTGGTCTCTTTTTGATTTCACTGAAGTATTTGCAGAGATGTGTGCATAAATACAATAATGTCTAAAGTTACAGTAGCTTTACACTCCTTTTACTATATTGTAGAGTAAATCTTTCTTTACTATCACCCCGTCACAGTGATCTTTGTATCTAAAATCTGCATCAACTTCTTTCCATGTCTGCGAAGCCCTTTCTGGATTCTGGCTGGGTTTGCGTTCGGCTTAGCTTCAGCTTGGTGCCCACGGGGGGCGCTCTCCCCCAGGTGGCAGGGGCCATGTCCAGACCAGCTGCTCGTGCAGTGACGAGGGTTCCGGCTGCAGCTGCTCCTGTCTGACCACCGTCCTGGCCACAGACCAGCAGGTTCCCAGCCACCCACTGAGGACAGCCCCACTGGCAACGGTCACGCCCTCTGGCATCCGCCTAACGCTAATCAGGAGATGCAGACCTCAAATAGCAGAATAAATACAGTTTTTAAGGGAAAGTAATAGTTGCATGTGCTTTATAGGAAGGAAGGAAGGGAGGGAGGGAGGAGGAAAGAGAGAGAGGAGAGAAGAAAAGAAAGAGAAGGAGAGAAGAGAAGAGAGAGAGAGAGAGAGAGGAGAGAGAAAGAAGAAAGAGAGAAAGAAAGAAAGAAGAAAGAAAGAAAGAAGAAGAAGAAAGAAAGAAAGAAAGAAAGAAAGAAAGAAAGAAAGAAAAGAAAGAAAGCTAACCAAAGCCAAAGTAACTATACTTATTCCAGACAGAGTTGACTTCAAGGCAAAAAACGTTTTTAGAGACAGAGCAAAATCTACGCTGATAAGAGATTCAGTCTGCCAGGGTGATACAGCAATTCCAAACGTCTGTGGGCCTCACAGCTCAGCCTTCGTGCATGCAAACTGCAAATCAGCCAAAGGAGGAGACACAGTCGCTCCTCTGCTCTGGTGAGTGGCCCTGCCTGGGCTCTTGCTCCCTGCTGCATCCACCCCAGGCTGACAGAGAGGGGGAGTCCCTGGCTGGGCTCAGCTGTGGCTGTCACAGGGAGGGCTGCGGTCACACAGGCAGCCCCAGCCCCTGGCCGGGATGCTGGCTGGGCACCTGATGGGGGCCCCAGCCTTGACAAAGGCCTGCCAAGCTCTATTTTGTCATTCCCTTCAAATCCCGCAGCCCGCCCTCCCTGCTGGCAGTCCTGCAGGGGTGCAGGGGCGCGTGGGCAGGCAGCCCACCTTCCTCTCAGACCGCAGGACCTGGGCACCATGGTGCCTGAAGCCCACCCGATGTCCCCAGGGGCGGGGGTGGGTGGGCACTGAGCACACACACCAAAGCCTGCTTTCCAGCCCCAGGTGGTGCAGCTGGTGCCAAGTAGGGCAGACGGCGCATGTCACAGGCCGCACTCGTGGCCTTAAAGGTTGTGTGCCGGCTGCGTGGCTTCCCCCGCACCTCGAGTGCTAGGTTACCGTGCTGTCTTGCTTGGAGCTGCATTCCTTTTTAATGAGGTTAAGTTGAGCAATTCTCTGAACTTAGATTGTCTTTAAAGGCAACCAGTTTCCATGTCTGGAGTCCCCACCCTCATCCCGGCCACCCTCAACCACAAGAGCCTCCCAGCAGGGTCACTGGGTCACTCCAGCCCCAGCGGGTCCACTCTCCACTGGGCAGGTGGGGATACTTTTAAACCCTACGTTTAACCATGTATCACCGCCGTTTAAATCTCTTATCCTCTGAGCTCCCTGCCCTTGTCCATGCCAGAACTCTTGGTGCCGTGGCAGTCAGAATAAAAACGCAGAGATGAAAGTCTGAATACGTGGTTTTATGCAGGCACAAGAGCTGCAGTGCAGGACGTAACATAAGCCAGGCCATCTTTGTTATGTCCGAAGAGTAAAGAGAGGATTTGGGGTTTTATTAAAAAGAAATGTGCGTGGTCTTGCAAGACAGTTTACTGGAGTTAGCAAAGTGTGTGGGAGGTGACGGGCTCTGATCGGCG